GTTTATGATTGATCAGTGCGAATTTTATTTTGATGTAGGTACCACTCACTATTATAAGTGTAAAAGAAAAGTTTAACAATAGGACTTCATAATCTGATATCCTTCAATCTTTAAACTTTAAACTTTTTTTTAAACATAAAAACAAAAGTTGGTTTTCTTATACTTTTTGTAATACGTGCTGTTCCATTAAATGTATTGATACTTCTCAAATGTTATAGAGACATCGTACCTAATATATTTTTAGACTGATTTTAGTTAACATTATAATCTTCTGGTATTCTTTATTTATTAACAATATGATTTTAATATAGTATTTTACCTACTTCATATTATCAATTGTCAATACAATATGAGCAATTCAAGTGGTTATTCTTTGCTTTTAGATTCTGAGCGGAACGAGAAAGCTAGTGGTTTTACAATGGTGTTTATTTTTATTTTTATTTATCCAGTATACAACATTTTTACCAGAAGGAGTGCTTCAATTTCAACATATTATAGTGTCTTATCTTTTAGCAAATTAGAAAATTTGGGAAAAATGGTAACTTCTGCCAAACTAAAACACGCGTGTTTACAACCTACAGTGCCCTCCCACACAGTTAAAAACCACCTAATGGCCAAAGTTGCCACGGGTTAATTAATGAAAAAAATAAAAAAGCTGGTAAGTGGATGTCGCTCTGCTGTACAGAAGGTTACAACTTACAAGTGGGTCAATGTATAATGGATTGTATTAAACTTGAATTCAATGATATAATATCATTGTATAGGAAAAATAATTCTGAGCGGACACGGTATGTCAGTCTGGATTTTTTATATTATTACTAGCTGATCCCGTGCACTTCGTTACCCATTAAAAATTCCAACCTTATAGGAATAATACGTTTTACATATTACCATGGCAACCATTTATATATAAAAAATTCTATCGGAAATCTCAAAATCCCTGTTTGAGCACCTCCCGGGGTTGGTCCTCTCCCTTTTTAAATTAACCTATCTTCTGCCCAAAGGTCTAATTATCTATCTATATACCTACATAAAAATAGCCGATCCCGTGCACTTCGTTGCAAGTTAAAAATGCCAACTCTATATGAATAATATGTTTTACATATTACCATGGCAACCATTTATATACAAACAATTCTTTTCGATCCTAGTTTGAAAACCCTTGGTTTGAGACAAGACGCCACGAAACGCGTTAGCGTCGAGTCGCAGTTGCTATGAAAAGCACTATAGCAATAATTATTAATTAGTTCATTAAAGAATGTTTACTCACAAGGCACCAAGTTATCAATATATAAAAAATCTATAGAAAAGTCGAATAGAGATAAATTAATGAAAAAAAATTGAAAAGGGGACATGGGCGCATGTAAGCAAATGCATAATGGAAAATCAATGTACCTATTTTAATAACGATCAATACTTAAATATTAGCAATAATCGTGTTCCTTTCACGAATTGTTTTTTTTTATTATTAAATTAATTTACATTTTTTTGTACCTGATTGTTTAATTAAATTATCTACACAATTTCAATCATAAAATATTTATGTAGTATATAAATAGTAGGTATAAACTATGAATATATTATATTAATTTTATGGCTATGTAATATAACGATTCATCGTTAAATATATTGCATATGTTTATCGAAAAAACATTTTAAAAAAACATTAATAATAAAATTCCTATTTTACGACCAAAAACATCGAACTTATGTAGGTACCATTCCACATAGGTATAACCGGCAACGAAATGGCAGACAAGGCAGCTGACCTTGCAACCTGCTGGATCATCCCCCATCCAACAATCTCCGACCTACCGACTAATGACATAAAATCATCCATCAAACACAAAATATACTCTAAATGGCAAAATTATTGGAATATCATTCCTCCCAGTTCAATACATCATTCTAGAATCTAGATGGCACTAAGTACCGGGACGAAAAACAACCTAGCAATACCTCCGAATATGGAAGAAGTACTCAACTAAAACAAACAATATTACTAAAATCATTACTTTTTTAACGAAAACTAATCTCATAAACAAATTCTAACAATGTACAAATCTTTTTTCGTAATCTTTAAGTCTTAATACAATTTGTAATTTTTTTTTTATTTATTTAAATGTACACAAGACTAATGACCTGTGATGTTGAAGCCTTACTTCTAAAAAAAAAAAAAAAGTTCCTATTTTTCTATAAATATCAATAAAATGTTATTTGTTTAGTACAAAAGCTTAACAATTTAATAGAAAGGCTCCTAATATTATATTGTTTCAAAGAGAGATGAAAAATATTAAAAATCCAGTCACAATTTTTTTTTTATAAGCACTTAAACGTCTTAAAGTTCAAATATTGACAAAATACGTAAAAATTACGAACATTTCCAAATTATTTTGAGTTAGAAATTCATTTAAAATTTTCTTTTTAAATCTAAGATTTGAAAATGTAATACAAGATTCCTCATAAATTTATCTACCTTTATCAAAAAAAAAATGTCTACAAGAAAGTAAAATTCAATTTTTATGAGCGTTTGAAATTCATATTTTTACAACATTTTATATTCACTCGATTTCTTATGTAGGTAACGATTTTCTTATTTTGTTGTAATTAAAAAACGAATGACTGTAGAGTGTAGATACATGAAAATTTCACTGAATATTTATATTAGCATTTTCTATACTTACACCATACAATTTTGAAAATATGTTGACTCTTTTTGAGCTGTTTACGGACATTTTCAGTTTTTAATTTTTTTAGTTTTTTTTTCTATAAATATCAATAAAGTTTTATCTGTTGCGCCAAAAAGTGTAAAAATTTAATACAAGGCTCCTGATATATTATTACAATATCAGTTGAAAAATATTAAAAATACATATTCACAATTTTTTTTTATAACATTTAAAGATCGAATTTTGACAAAATTTATCAATTTAAAATTGAACAATTATTTTGTAGATAAAAATTTATAAAATGTTCAACTTTTATATCTAAGAATTAAAAACTTAAAACAAGATTTCAGGTAAATAGTTTTTTCTGTTACCAAAATATCTAAAAAATACAGAAGCACAGTTTATTTTTATAGTCATTTTAAGTTAAACTTTGGACAAAACTACATAAAAAGAAACCTAGAATAACTGATTTAGTTATTTTGTTGTGATTGTATAATATTATTCATGGGTACTTGAAATTTCTAAATCATCTCCGATAGAAATTCCGCGGTCGTTGCGATAACGAACGCGACATTCTCTCCCGAGTCCAAGAGACACTTGAACATTTTACTGAATGTTTATATTAGCATTTTCTATACGCCATAGAATTTTGAAAATAATTTGACTCTTTTTAAGATGTTGACGGACATTGTCAGTTTTCAATTTTAGATTCTGAGTGAAACGATGAATGTATATTGATTTTACAATGATGTGTGTTTTTTTATTTTTTTTTTGTGTCTGTTTACACGATAAGTAGTCGAAATAATGCTTCGATTTTCGACTTCAGTATCTTGTTCGATTGGAAAGTGAATATTGTTGATGCATTGGGAAGGTCAAAATTTAAAATTCCCAGTACTTTTCAAAAGCGCCAAGAAAAACAAAAGAAAAATTAAGAAAAACGGGAAATTTTACGCAAAATCGATTTTTCAGAAAATTGAATTTGGTTTTGGGTGTAACTTTAAAACAAATGACCGATACATGAAATTTTCACTGGTTGTTTATATTTGCATTTTCTATACACGATAACATTTTCAAAATATTTTGATTTATTTTAAACTGTTTAGGGACATTTTCATTTTTCATTTTTTTTTAGTTTTTATTCTAGAAATATCAATAAAATGTTATTTGTTGGTTAAAAAAACTTGAAAATTTAATAGAAGGCTCCTAGTATACTGTTTCAAAGGCAGATGAAAAATATTAAAAATCGTTAGTCACAGTTTTTTTTTATAAGCATTTAAAGTTCAAAAATTGACAAAATATGGAAAAATCACGAAAATTAGCAAATTATTTTGAATTAAGAATTCATAAAAATTTTTCTTTTTAAATCTAAGATTTGAAAATGTAATACAAGATTACTCATAAGTTTGTCTACCTTTATCAATAAAAAAATCTCTACCGAACAGTCAAATTAAATTTTTATGACCGTTTGAAATTCAAATTTTTACAACATTGGTTGTTCACTCGATTTCTCATGTAGCGATTTCCTTATTTTGTTGTTATTCATAAACGAATAACTATAGATACATGAAAATTTCACTAAATGTTTACATTAGCATTTCCTACACACCATACAATTTTGAAAATATTTTGACTCTTTTTGAGCTGTTTACGGATATTTTCATTTTTCAATTTTTTCAGTTTTTTTTTCTATGAATATCAATAAAGTAAAACCAATACATTTTATTTTAAATTTAAATAAAATATTATATTTTTGTTATCACAACTGGTAAATGTAAAAATAACAGTTATTTCAAAACACCAATCTTTTTTAGTTTTCTTTCTTTTTCAATCTTATTTTTTGTAACTGTTTCTAATATTTTTTTTCTTATTTCTTTTTTCCCGATAAAATATGTTCTGATTACAGGTATTATCTATGGACCTGTGGTGAGCCACCAAGGTTTATAGATAATGATATAAATTATCTATAAACCTTGCCATGGACCATATGTTTAAAATTATCATTATTATTGTTCTGCGTTATGATAGAAGATAATAGATATCATCTTATGGCCGTATTGTTCTATGCCATTATGCCAACAACACCCAAATTTTTACGTTTGCGTCGTCTGCAATAGAAACAAAATTACCGAATACATTACCTACAACTCAGAATATTAGAACAAAAATACAGAATAGATTAAATTATTATCATTAGCTGCACTGCTACCACGATTAAATATAATATATCTTAAATCGTGACTGCTATAGCCTGCGAAGGGCGAGGTTTGAGAATTTCCGTTCATCTATTCATACGATTCCACATTTTCAAATTTCTGCAGGTTTTCAATCGAAATGTATTCCAATCACTCAACTGATCCCAGAAGACCGGACAAAGAGCACAGGTAATCACTTAGATATTTTATGATGAACCGTTATCACGTTAATCGAATTCTGTTTCAAAAAAGTTAAGTGTTTAAAAACAACCCTAATATTGAAATGTTTAAAATGTGTTGGTTCCATTTTTATGTTCTACGCTTGGCGTAAAACATTTGTACAATTATCAGTCCTAGGGTTAGCTGACATAGTGGCATGTTCCACAACGGACCTTCTTATTATATTAGCTGTATGAAAATAGTTATTAAAGGGAGCAAGGGTATACATAGCTGAGTTCAGGCGATTCTGGGACTAAACTTCCGTACAGTACATTTATAATCAGGTCTTAACACGTTGATGGACAGTCTTGTTGCCACCGTCGTAAGAAAAACTATCCTTAAAACTGCTATATCAATAATTCTTTTATTACTGCTGTAGGGTTTTATGCTATAGGGCAGTGCAAATTTGTCTGCTGAGATGTCGGGAGACACAACAATCTATCCCCTCATAAGACACCATTGAAAATATTACTGCTATATCAGTAAGATTTGCAATTTTCCCCGACATCAATATTTGAAATTACTGCTAGGCAGTACTGCCCACCAACGGGTTAACTGCGAATAACATTTCCCCCCACAACAATATATTCTTAATAAAATATTTATGTGAATAGTCATGGAATTGGCATATGCAAAAAGGTGGGCTAACGGGTTGAAGCCCCCCTCACCCCTATTGCCAGTATTATTATTACTTTTTTTTAAAAGTATTTTCAAATTTCAACTGTTGTCATTTACCTAGTAAGCTAGACGTAAATTCATAATATACGTCTTACTGAAATTAATTAATTTTTTTAATTTTCATAATAATGTAGCAAATGATAAAAAAATCTTGTTTGTAAAAAACTACATTTTTAAAGTAAGGGCACCAGAAATTTTGCTAGAACCGCTGGTTCTTTTTTTTTTATCAACCACATCATATGGGGTAAACTGTTTGCACATAACACAACCTTCATGAAATATCAATATCGTCAAGCCTAGTTTGTAAAGTGTTGACCACAGTATTGACTCCAAGTGCTCTTACTTATTAGCAGCAATCATTGCCAACATCTTGGTATGACCATGATGACAACCAATTGCCCATTAAATGTATAACCCAAACCATAGAAATATGGAGTTAATTCATCTTATACAATATCTAAATGATTGGCAGGTACAAACCAAAAGCTGTCAATAGTGATAATCAAGCTCTAACACCTGGTGAAGACTTGACGTCTGACTATATGAATATTTTGGGCATGATTTTGAGCATGTGTGGATTATTAATGAAGGTAAAACTAATTTATAATAATGTTATAGTCTTAAATCTTAATATTCTAACAACTTTTAAACATTTTTTTTGCTAGTTTAAATGGGCAGCATGGTGTGCTATGTTTTGTTCATGTATAAGCTTTGCAAATTCTAAAGCGTCTGATGACAACAAACAAATCTTTAGCAGTTTCATGTAAGTATCTATAAGTTTAATTATTATTTTTAGTTTATTGTTATATATTTGCGGTCCCGTCAGAGATTCAAAAGATGATGATTTGAAATAAGTCGTTGTCAATATGAATAGTAAAATAAAATAGTCGTTAATTCATGTAGTAATTGTATGTAAGTGTATGTGGCCGAGTGTGGTCTTTGGTCTTAATGGCTATGGTACATCTGAATTCTGAATATGCCGTGTTCCTGGCCCTCCTATAAACGATGTTGGCACGTGGATTTTGCAGGTGTCTTTTGGTGAGGTCAATGGAAAGTTATTGTTGCTGCGGATATGTGCTTCTAGCAGTGGTGGTTTTCCCGGGGAGGTAAGGGAGGCAGTGCCTCCCTTGAAAACGAGAGGAAATACACGATTAATATTATTTAAATTATAAAATATTGTGTTTATTTTTTCAAATATAGACAGTATAATAAAAGGGAAATAAATCAAATATATATTTAAATTATGTATTGAAGGGACTATGGAATGTTACTATTAGTGTTTGAAAATTTCACGAAATTTAAAAAAATGAAATATTTCAGCATTTTAATAAATTTTGTTTTATTTTTAAATAAGTTTTATATTTACATAATATAATTGTCATAAATCACCTTCATAATTGTATAGTACCTAAATGTATACCTAACCTTTGGTATTATACATTTAAAATGGTAATCAACATTTTTAAATATTTTAATGTTTAAATGATACAAGCAGGTTAGGTATACAATAGATATACATGTATATTCTATACTTACTGAATTCTTACATTAGAATTTAGGCAATTAACACTGAACACTGTGTTAAAAAAATATAAATATGAAAGTGTAGGGATGTTGCTCAAGACACCTCCCAGCCAAAAAAAAGATTTCTGACTCTTTTAGGCAGGAATCTTTTACGTTTTTCAATTTTTGTTGTACATTTTTCAGTTGATTTATAATCCAATTACAATATGTTATACATTCAGTTATAATTTCGTAATACATTTTATATTTTATGACATTTTACAATTATAATGTCATTTACAATATTTTATTTTAAATTCTTTTTTTTTTTTGTTTTAGTTAAGTATTAGAAATTTTTTAATTAAGTATATTATAAGAATAATATTTATTTACTTGAAATTATAATATTAAATAAAATGTTAGCTTAAGTATATAATATAAGTGTTTTATTTCCCTTTTGATTACAATATCATTTAATAATTATGTTAATATAATTAAATCTCATCACACGTAAGTCAATATATATATTTTGATTTAATTATAGTAATCGAATTTATAACTATGATCTCTTATGGTTTCATAGTTATATAAATATGAATATGCAAGTGTAAGGTCGTTGCTCACAACATTATGTTGGGTATCACTTTTTAAGTAATTATTACTCGTATACAAACATGGTTCTAGGGGGGGAAGACAATACTTTTTTACAACAAACTTTATATTTAATTTAAAATGTTTTCCCTATATTGGTATAATCTTAATGTAATAAATCAATTAATGACTATAATAAATTAAATAACAAAATTCAAATATCTTTTCATATTGTTGCTTTTTCCAAAACGGTAAATTATTAGGTCAATGTTTATGTACATTTCCCTATGAAAATTTGAGAAATAATGTCTATCCCACCCTAGATCCGTCCCTGTTCATATAAGTTATAATAACTTAAATAACTTCTATAACTGGTTAAAAAAATCGCATAATAATAAACATAGCTTTATTAGTTAAAAGTTTCATGTTGGATATTGAATATTTATTATAAAAGTACCATGTAATTTAAATATTAATAAATGATTACTTTTTATAAATAAGGATGTGACTTGTGCTGCATTATTTATAAAAAAATCATTTAATTTGATATTTAATTTAAAAGGACACTACCCAACCATTTGTTGTCTCCGTTTTGCACACATACAACATACCAAATTTTCATTCCTAGTTTCAATAGTGTTCTGTTAGTTTTGATATTAAGAGTGAATTGACCTGTTATCTAACTTTTGGTACTTTCATGTTGTACGAGACTACCTCCGTTATCGCGACTACCGCGCTTATTTTGTAAAACAATACAATCCTGTTATCTAAGAATTCAAAAATAGTACTTTCCTGTTATACGAGACTATCTTATTTTTCCCTGGTGTGGGGATGGCCAGAATGAAATAAAGAAATATTTTAAATACATAGTAATTATTTGTAATGTATTTTACGCGGTACACGCCAAAGCGCCAAATTTGCCGAGGCATACGGAAAACAATAAAATAATAAATAATTTATGTATTGTGAGGATGGTCACATTCGAAATATATAAAAAAAAATTAAATAAAGATAAAAATTAAATCCATAGTAATTATTTGTAATGTATCAAATTTGCCTAATAATATACATAATGATAGTTAATATTATATAATAATTATAATCACAGCTTATGGATATCGTTCAGCTATAATATCAGCTAAGATGGATAGTTGCAATGATAGCCATAGTCTCGTACAACAGGAAAGTATAATTTTAGTAGTCTTAGATAACAGGATTGTGATGTTCTCAAAAAACTGGGTAGTCTTGTATAACAGGAAAGTACCAAACTTTTAAGTAAGAACATTTTCTGTGCTTAAGCGTTGGTAATTTATCAATATTCTAGTTTTTAAGTGAGATATGAGCATTTTTAATTTGTAATATTTCACATAGATAGGTTATTGTAATTCTTGTTTGAAAACTAATATATTGAAAAATCTCCGACGCTTAAGAACAGATGTTCTTATCTAAGAGTTTGATAATTGGTCAATTCACTCTAATATCAAGACTAACAGCACAATTGATACTAGTGAATGAAAATTTGCATACGTATGTAAGATGGAGACAATAAATGTATGGGTAGTGTCCACTTAACTATTTGTCTTATTAAAATAACTGTAAAACTGTTTTCTAAAAATATGAAAAGTCAATGATTTAGAAATCAATAGAAAATATTTAATTACAATTAAATTTATATAAATTATAATAATTTCATGGGAATAATATAGAAAATTTAATTAACTTATTGATTCATTAACTTTATTGTTTACATCGGTATTAAATCTATATCTATGAAAATGGTTGTTTTGTCTTTAATTAAGTGTCAAAAACTACTAGACCATTTTCAACAAAAGTTATATCAATAGATCCTTCTTTGAGACTTACAGGAAGTTTTAAGCATATTAATTAAAACAATATTAATTTTAGTTAAATTGAGCTATAGCAAATTCAAATGGTTTTGAGTTTTGGTAGATGTATAAAAGGGGGCCAGTATGGGGCAAAGTCCTATTGTATGTATTAGCCCACAAAAAAAAATTAATGAATTTGTACTATGTAAATATAATAAAATGTATATAATTTTTATTCCAGTTCAGTAATTAATTTAGAAAATAATTCATTACATTTTTACAGGCTTTCCATGTCAGCAATTGTAATGTCTTACTTACAAAATGCACATCCAATGTCACCACCATGGTCTACAGCATTTGGATAAGAATTTTGAATTTCACAAAAAAAAATAATCATTTGTATTTATTGGGGTTTACTAATAATATATTGATTGTTTTCTCAAAACTTAAAAAATATTTGTATGTTAATATTATTTGAATAAAACTCTAATCATAGACATTTAACTTATTATTTTAATATGCTATTCGCAATTATAACATAATATTATAGAATAAAAAATTACTCTAATATTATATAAAAGTTAATTAGAAACTAATTGTTTCAGCCTCATGACTCTATATGAGTTAACTAATTCATACATATTTACAGCAATCTTCCTCTACAGTAAAGTGAATCACAATGACATTTCATCCTTTTTCCTGGAACACTTCCTATATCATAGCTATAGTCCCAAGTTAGCTCTGTTCCAGCTGGTATAAAATGGAGTGCAAAAAACGATATCCATGGGAACCGTAAGTCGTGCGTATCTACAAATACATTTTGGACAAATGTATTTGGAGAACACGAATGGTTTAAATAACGTCCAATGTTGCCACTAGTTTTCGCATCCATGATATATACACTCTCGTTATTTCCAAAGTATTCACGCACTGATTTTGGAGGTTTAGGGTTGTTTTTCATATTACGTGCATTTAATTTGGACAAAACTTGCACTTGTTTACCATCTTTTTTTGTTTTTGATTTATTGCGTTTGCGCAATTGTAATGTCATTTCAGATCTTCTACCTAAGTAATAACAAATGTTATATATATTGTATAAACTATAAATTATTATTAACTAATAATAAAAATTACCATCAGATGTACTAGGATAATGTTCATCAGACGATTCGGATTGATTTGTCTCAGTTTCATATTCATAGTCACTGTCAGGTACTTCACTTTCATAATCTTCTTTTATTTTTTCAACAACTTCAATATAGTCCAATTCTGCCAAATATTCATCGCCATAATTTTTCCCACCTTCATTAGCATCAGTTTCAGTTAACAAATAACCAACATAAATACATATGAAACTCCCTTGTGGTATATCATTCAAACATTGAACACCCCATCCTTTTTTCTCAGTCATGAATAATTGTAACTTTTGCGACAGTGGATTCTGTACCACACGATTTGAACACGAACTGGAACATTTACATGTCTTATTGCATTCATAAATACCTGTTAAAACTCGTTCAGGCAACCTCCTATAACTGTAACCAATATTTGGGTCTTTGTAAAGATTAGGTAAAATTTTCTGTCCCTCGATAGTCATCTGCCAACAACCACATTTCGATTTATCTTGACAGTTGTCGGTGCAGTCACATCCACACAAGAATTTACTATCTACATTTATGTTAACACCTGGCATTGGTTGTCTAGTAGTCATATAATCCATTTTTGGTGGTAATGCAATGTTAATAATGTTCACACATGGTATGCCCCTAAATTCCTGGCCCTCAGATATATCTTTTAAAAATTGCACACTTCTTAAGACCTTATATTCTGCCAATGGTTGGACCCAACTATTAAAATCGAATTGGTCGATAGTCATTTTACTGTGGGTAGCAATCAGATATTCCAGCATCTGTTTTATGTTTCGAATAGTTACACCACACGGGGTTTTGTATAGGATACATTTTTCTGATGAATTATGACTGACTGTATTAATCCTGTCGAAACCAAAATGCAACGGAATAGTCAACATGTTGATACTACTAGTTCTCCGATAGTCATATTTCGTCCATAAAACACAAAAAGGAGTACATTCGTGTTTGACAAATTTCATTGGATTAGGAACTAACTTATCCAATAGTAGGTTAACAACCTTGGTAGCATTGGACGTATTTTTATTCCGTTTTTGAGTTCCGTCACCAGAGGTTGTTGGATTCTTAGTGGTACTTTTACGAGCTACACCCTTAGCTAAAAGGCGGGAGGGCTCTTCTTCAACACTTGTATATTCTACAAATGGTTTTTTTAAATAAGCTAGTCCAGATTGCCTTAATCGAATACCTCTCTCAGAGTTGATCTGTTTTTCAAAAATATTATACAAACGGGAAGAGCCACGATATATCCATTCGCTATGTTTGAAATCAGTAAAATATAATTTGACCAAAGATGCATCAACTTCAAGCACTTTTGCCATCTGCCACTGACCTTGATGCTCTGCTCGTACTGAATGTTGATTGGTCAACTTAACCATTTGTCGTTCAGGATACTTATCTAAATAACTTTTTATAAAATCCTGGGAATTCTCTTCTACTTCTTTCCATACATAATGTAAACTTGATCTACGTGCAATTAAACGAATATCTTGGTGTTGTCGATATTGAGCATAACCACCATCAAAAAATATCAAGTATCTAAAAAACAAATAATAAAAAATAAAAAATAAAAATAAAATAAACTATTGCTACCTTGTCATTAAATAATTAACCTTACCGAAAGTTATTAAGCATTTTTGGAGGTTCAGCAACTAAACCAGCATAAAATCCATCGATGCGTTTAGAATTAGGATCCGTAAGCTTAGCAATTACTCTGCAACCCACAGGAAATCTAACTGAATTCAGTGTAGAGTGTGCAATTTGTTTTGTTGTCACTAACTTTTCACCAGTTTGAAATACGACATGTACATAATCTTCATTAACTATATTTTTGATTTTACCTCTATACCAGGGATCTTTTATAGTCAACTTCATCGCAAATACAATTTGTCCAGCCTCAACATCAGGATACTCTAAAAGACCTTCTAGAGGTAAATTAGCTGGTACAACACAAACGGTTCTATCAATAGTAATAATATCGTCCTTATCAGATACAGTTCTATCAACAGTAATAATATCGTCCTTATCAGATTTATCTTTTTTGGCTTCTTTAGGCATCTCAATTTCCTTTATAAGCTTATTTATTTCTTTTTGAGGCATATTGACTTCTTCTTGTTCCTCTTCCATAGAATCCTCCAACTCATTGATATTCACAGATTCTACCCTTGTTACAATTGGTTGATATTGACTAAGTATTGCATCTTGTATTGATGCCATTTGAGCTACTAAACTCAAAACATAATCATCAACGTCTACAGAATTAGTCGTAGATTTCTGTAATGATTCTTTCATATGCTCGTTCAATAATTGAACTTGAAGGTTAAAGAGATTTTTGTTTTTATCAAAAAAATGTGCGACTGCATCTTCGAGGCCTTTTTTAACTTCTGGGTCGGGAGGTAAACCTGCCTTAGAAGTACTAGGATTTTGCTTTTCTTCTTCTTCTTCTTCGCTCGATGAATCTTCAATAACTACGTATGAATCGTAACTTGGGAAAGTGGATTCCAAAATACATTCTCCCTCCTTAAATTTCTTTTCAAGAGTTTTATAATGTTTAAGACACTTTTTGTAACACGCCATGCAAACCTAAACAAACCACCATAATTTAAATCTAACTACCTATGTGTAACATTCGATTTAATATAACAATATCAATTACCTCTTTGCCAGGCTTGTAAACAACGTCATAGTAATGGCACGCCATTTCCACCGCATCAACCAGGGTATCACCATTTCTACAACGCCTGTTTATACATCTGAGTCGACGCCTCTGTTCCTCCTTTGCTTTAGAGCTACTATGATTTGGTTCCAAATTTTTCCTCGATGAGGCCATCTTTGTTTTCTAGTTTAGAAAACACAAATCACAAATTAATAAACAAAGAAAGCATTATATGTTTAATGTGTTTACGGTATACCCTCTACACAAATGGAGATGTAGAAATTATGTCACAAATCTAACTCTGGGGTTGTAGGTACTCAAATAGTAAATACATACCTAAATATAATTTAAAAACAGAATAATTTACAGGAAACTTGGATACTTCAAACGGAGCCTGCAAGAGATGCGAGTCTTAAACCTTATTTTTTTTTTTTTGATTGGTTATCTCTGAATAGAAACTATAAAGTATCTCTAATATTTTTTCGAGTATAAACAGATAAACTAGAGATGCATCGTTTCAGTGGTTCTTTATATAATTTATATTATATACATACAATAAACTAAGATATATCTTAATTCATGATACCTACTAAATAATGAATATATAAATTGTAAATAATAATTATTGTAGTACTTATAAATTATATTTAATTTGTTTACATTCGATTATCGATATCACTAACGGGCTATTTAGTATCTATATGGTCTACAGAAAATAAAATAACTGAACTTTGGTGATCCATAAAGTAAATTTTAGTATAAAGAAAGTAAAATTATTAAAACTAAAAAATAACTTAAAAACTAAAAAGTGTAAACACAATAATTGAAGATTAACTTGGCAGTTGGCGGACCACTGATAAGGACTAGTCGTCGGGCCTTATCAGCTTTTAAGACCATGGTAACACAATGGTACCCTTAAATCATATACCAAAAGATGGTACGGTCTCCAGGGGGGCGTGGCATACGTGAAATAGGGAATGGTAAACAAGCCGACCCTGCGTCCTGTATCCCACCAGTTTAGGACCCGTTTTCATAATATTGGTAACCACGGGTCTAACGTCATGTTGGTGAGGGAACCAATTCAATGTTTTTCGTAGGTTCAGACTTAAGATCATAGGTAACCAATACCCCAATCAGCTGATCGAGTGTTGCTTCTATATTGTTCTATGATGGTACTATAGATAATATTATAAGTAAAGAACACAGATATATAAAAATACTAGATAGACAACTTGGAAATGTTTTTGAAGCCAACAAATGGCTGAAATTCTCTTATCTAAGAGGTGAATGTTTACATTTTCATAATATGATTAATATTATAAACTATAAGTGTTTGCGCTGCAAACGAATTTATGTTGTGTGTTTCTGTTATCATTTTCATGTGCACGTATCAGTGCGTTCCACAGTTGCAGCCTTCGTCGGCTGATGCTTATCAGGCATTCGTGTGCGACCGGCCAGCTGTGGAACAATTATCAATGTTTTCATTATATTTGGTTATGTTAAAAACTTTAAGTTGTGTTTCGAGTAGTCATGCTTTCAGTGTCATAAAGTTCACAATGTTTTTGTTATCGGTTATTGTTTTAGTGTGGTGACACTGAAAGTCCGTTCGTTTTTGTGTTGCTCTATTGTGCCTCCAGGAGATCGTGCGGGGCCTTTGACTTCACTTTTTGTGCTCCGAGCCGAGCGGTTCAATTATTGTTTTTCGTTGTTGTCTCGTCATGTTTATGATGAGCTGTTTGCAGTCGTCCAAAACCACGTTGTTGTGAATTTGTGTTTAAGTTTCTGGTAATTATCGTTCTTAGCAATTTGTATTGCCACTACTAATTTGTGTTTAAGTTACAGGATGGTCAAAATTACCAAAGATTTGTGTTGTGAATCAACGTGTTTTTGTGTACCTCATTGCTCGTGGGAACAGTAGTGCGAACACTAGAAATCCTGTTCCGGCTGCATTCAATGTATTATTGTTATTGAAGTCATCGTCAACAGTTGCTGGCACACACCCGAACGTACGCAGGGTCAATTTGTCTTTATTGTAATTTAGTGATATACTTACAGGCCCTGGTGCGGTAACGTGGGTGTAAAACCAGGTGTGTGTCTCAACTGTTATGTGAGTATTGGTCGACCAGATATATGTGTGTATGACCGACGGGTCTTAAAGTAGTAAACATCTCATTATTATGTACTGTTAGTCATTAATGCATATTATTTATTAATTGTATTCCATTGTATATTACAGCCGTTCAGGCCTGATTCAATCATATGTTATTATTATTATTATTATCATTATTATAGCCAAAGAGGCAAATGAAATTATACTTTATATTGTTACTATTATTATTATTATTATCATTACTGTGCCAAACGGCAATAAAAATTTATTATAAAATACAGTCCACATTTTTATTTACAACGACAAGGCTGTTCAATATCATTTTGTTCACCTTAAGCGTTATCATTTTGGTCCTTCGAGCCGGATAGGCTAAGTGAATTAGTAATCAGTATAAAATATAAATTTCATTAATTTGTATAATCATTTTTTTATATTTTTTTTATTGTTAAATAAGCACACTGTGCATCATTCCCAATATTGTATTTTAGGCCACAATCATGGATATCAAAAAGGCGACTTTAGAGTTGAAGGTTATTCATTCCAGTTTAAAGGCGATGAGCACATTTGCCAAGAACTTCAATAGTGAAACAAACAATCAAAGCCAAGTTAGAGTACGCTTAGAGGAACTTCCAAGTATTTCAGAAAAATTTGAAGAAGTGCAGTCAGTAAAAGAAGAACTTGATCAAAGGTCAGATGACGTAGTAATGGATGAACGAGCAAAATTTAGAGAGAGATTTTATGAAGTCAAGGCATCATTATTACATATATTGGAAGCTGAAGAATCCAAAAAATCAGAAGTGACCAGTCCATCCTACAGCATCACATCCAGTCATGTAAACAACAATATGATGAAATTACCACCTATTGAACTCCCTAAGTTTAGTGGTGATTGGAAAGAATGGACATCATTCATAGACTCGTTCAATGTTTACTTTCACAACAACAAAGATATGGCACCGGTTCATAAATTGCATTTTCTTAAGGCTTGTTTAGAAGGGCAGGCCAGTGACATTGTCAAATCTATACCAACTACAAATGAGAACTATGGGCAGGCCTATGATGCAGTAACAGCAAGATATGAAAACAAAGGAGCAATTATTCAATCACATATTAGAGCATTATTTGATACTCCTAAAATTTCAATAGCTTCAGTAATAGAGTTGCAAAGACTTTATCATCACATTACTTCAAATATAAATGCATTACAGGCTTTAGGTCAACCGATCGAAGCCTGGGACGCTTGGTTAGTCACATTAATATGCAACCGAATGGATAGAGTAACCGTCGGTGAATGGCACGTTAAATATAACAAGAAAGACCTACCAGAGTTCAAAGAAATAAAAGAATTTTTATTTAACCGTATTGCTGCCTATGAAGCAGGTGAAGTTAACGTTGGTGCATCATGTATTAAACAGAATGTGGTCAAGTCCAGTAATAAAGTTCAAGAAAAAAAGGTTTTTTTTGTTAAACCTGCGAACAAGGTAACCACATTGTACAAATGTCCCTTTTGCAATGAAACTCATAGATTATATCAATGCAAAGGTTTTAATGATTTGAAAGTACCAGATCGCCGAGAATTTGTTTCAAAGAATCGGTTATGTTACAACTGTCTATACTCTAATCATCAAGCACAAGACTGCAGGTTCCCAGGTTGTCCAAGATGTGGTCAAAAACATAATTCAAAATTGCATTTGGTTCAAGCTCATGAAAATCAACAAACTAGTAGTGAAACGGAGCCCATTGCAAGCACAAGTGCTCTATGTTTTAGTAAGGGTATAGCACAATCAATGCATGCGTCAGGTGACATGGTCATGTTGGCCACAGCCGTGGTATACATTAATGATGCAGCTGGCTATCCTCAACCCTGTAGAGCACTACTGGACTCAGGATCACAAGTTAATTTTATAACTGACGCCTGTGCCCAATTTCTTGGAATGTCTAAAACAAAATGTGTTCTACCAATAGTTGGTATCAACTCAATGAGGTCAGATGCACATAGATTGCAACCAGTTGTAATGTATTCCAGGTTTGAAAATTTCAACGTTTCACTAGACCTTCATGTACTTCCTTCAATCGCCAATGATATGCCATCTCAATTAATACGTTTAGATCAGTCAAAGATTCCGGACATTGTTAATGAACAATTGGCAGATCCAAGCTATGATACACCAGGCAAGATAGATATACTACTTGGCGCAGAAATGTTTTACACACTTTTCAGTGGAGAAAAAGTTGCCATTACAAATAGTTTAGTGTTTCACAAAACCACACTTGGATGGGTTCTTACTGGAAGGGTATTAAATAGTGAAGTTATACAGTCTAGGTTTTCTGCTTGTTCTTGTGCTAATGATGCAACCATAAACTCAGCGCTTTCACTATTTATCAGTAAATCAAGTGTTCGTAAAGATGAAGAAGATGAAGCTGAACAGCATTTTAAGAAGACACATTACAGAGATGAGTCAGGACGATTAGTTGTTAGCCTCCCATTAAATACTAAGCTCAGTTCGCTTGGTGAATCTAAACACATGGCGCAACAACGATTCTTTAACTTGGAAAAACGGTTATCTAAAGACAGAGAACTATGCATAGCTTACCACAAGTTTATGTCAGAGTACTTAGACATGAACCACATGGAACTGGTAACTAATGATGATTCAAATAGTCAAACATTTTATTTGCCTCACCATGCTGTCATCAAAGAAGACAGCATCACCACAAAATTAAGAGTTGTGTTCGATGGATCAGCTCCATCAAGTTCCGGGCTATCCCTTAATGATGTCATGTTAAAGGGACCTATAGTGCAATCTTCCTTGTTCTCAATACTGTTACGATTCAGAGTACATAAGATAGCATTAACCGCAGATGTTGAGAAGATGTACCGTCAAATACTAGTAACTCCAAAAGACTGTCAACTACAACGAATTTGGTATCGTCCAAGTCCCTCTGAACTGTTAAGGGAATATAACCTTCGGACAATCACGTACGGTACAAAATCAGCTCCCTATTTAGCGACCCGTAGCCTGGTGGAAGTAGCTTTTTCAGCTCCAAATGAAGCTGCTCAAAG